GAAGAAACCTTCTCAGAAGGCAGAAGAACTTTGATATAGCTAAAGCTAACACTGTTCGAGGCAGTCACTAAGCTAAGTGTTTTACATGCATTTTCTTTCATTTATTCTTCCTGGCACTCCTATGATGTCAATAAATTATGCCCACTGAAGGAACTGAAAAGGATAAGTGACTTGCCCATGGTGGACTTGGGTCATCAATGCCCAGTCCAAAAGATGGCTTGCTGTGTCCTGATGAGGTCATATTGAGAAGCCTCTCTCTCTCTTTCTATTCTTGTGCCTCCTATGTGAGAAAGACTTCTCAGAGTTGCTTCTAGATATTATATTTCAAGATAATAATTATCTAAAATGATCACGTCATATCATACTGAAGAGTCTCTGTCTTTCTTCATAGATATATGGAGCTTGCAGTATTGTGACTTCTTCACTTAATGTCATTCTACATATTAGGAGAGTCACTGCAGAGTGATGGGGGGCAGCTGCCTTTCCCCAGCCGTTGCTGTTGGCTTTGATATACCTCAGCCACAGCAGAGAGGACACAACCACCATGTGAAGACTGGGGGACAAACTATTCCTAAGGAATGAGGTGGTCAGGGGAGCATCATATTCTTATCCGAACTTTGGACAGAGGTTTCCCAACATACGTAGTTGTGTGTGTGAGCAAGTAACCTAGAAACACTGAAGGTCTGACGGGGAAGAAACAAAGGAAGTCAAGAAACCAAAAACCAAACCCATTGCCGTCGAGTCGATTCTGACTCATGGTGACCCTATAGGACAGAGTAGAACTGCCCCACAGGGTTTCCAAGGAGTGGCTGATTCCAAGTGCCAACCTTTTGGTTAGTAGCTGAGCTGTTAACCACTACACTACCAGGGCTCCAAAGGAAACTGAGGCCATCCAAACAGTAAAAGTGAATCGTAGCCACCAAGTTTGCTTTTTGGTCACAAAAGTCAAATGATTCCCTGGATTTCTGCTTTGACAGTATTCTATCATTGGCTCCATTTGGTCTCAAATAGTGTTGATTTTTTTAAGGCAGTTTCCCACTCAAAAGATGACCATGTGTTTATCTCTGCACCCCGTTGTTGGTAGATTCAGGAAGCACGTTTAGAGAACAGTTGGCTCACTGATCACTCGAAGGCCTGTCATTAATACTGATCATTGAGCGCCATGCTTAGGAAAGTCTTCCAGGCGATCTCTGGCGCTGGCAAGTTGAGCTAGATGGCATGGCCAGATGGGCTGTGTGTGGCCACATTCAAGTTTACTGCTTCTGGGCACTTGGCACCAGAAGAGAGATTCTTGTTGGATTCAAGTGCTGGGGATCAGAGGACATCAGGCTGGGCTGGTACTAGTACTCTGGAGCTTGTTTCATCTCTGACCACCAGTTGTTCATTTCAAAGGTCAGGCATTCATTCAGCAAACACATTCTGAGCAACTCCTGTGTGCCCAGCACTGGAAATAAAAATATGAGCCTGACTCAATCCCTGCCTTCAGAGACTATGAAGGCACTTAGGGGAAACAGACACATAAATAAAAAATTATTATGCAGTGCAAAAATTGCCCCATCGGAGCTGTGTACCAAGTACTAAACCAGTTGCTTTGGTTTGGTTCTTGGTACCAGAATCAACACACATGGGGTTGACATGAGTCAGAATCAGACCCAGGGCAAGGTTAGTGCATGCCCAGGGTGGTGTCCTTATTCTGACATTGATGGGACCATCATCAGGAAGAAATAAACAAGCAAAAATGCTGAGGCCGAAGATGTGGGTTAAAGCCTAGGGTCTTGCACCAGCAAGTATACAGCCTTTGGCAAGTCCTCCAATTTCTCTGAATCTTTATCTCCTCTTTTGAACAATGAAGGGTTTTGACTCATAGAGTCTACAAAGGTCTTTCAGCGTTGTCATTTTATAAATATTGATTCTGACTCATTGTGACCCTATGTGTTTCAGAGTAGAGCTGTGCTCCATAGGGTGTTCAATGGCTGACTTTTTTGAAGTAGATTGCTAGGTCTTTCTTCCAAGGCACCTCTGGGCAGACTGAAACTTCCATCCTTTCAGTTGGCAGCCAAGTGTGTTAACCGTTTGCACCACCCAGGGACTTCTGTGCCAAGTATACTGGTAGACAAAGCAGGGAACAGGTTGGCCCAGGAAGGCCTTATAGAACTAATAACATTAGATTCCAAGGATTACACACTTACCATGTGCTAAGCGCAGTATGAATCAACTCGATGGCAACAGGTTGTTTTTTGTTTTTTTTAAGTGTATAGTGAGTAAATATTCAGACTTCGGAGTTCTATCAAAGTTCAAATATCAGCTATGTCATCTACCAATGAGAAAATAACTATGTAAGCCACAACTTCCTCCTTTGTAAAATGGGAATAGAAACTGTATCTACCCGACCTGCTGCCAGAATGAAAGGAGGTGAGCAGCACACAAAGTGAGCACTCAATCAATACTAGCTATCGAAATTATTATTATTAAGTTCTAGCAGCCAGACTTGGAGTTAGATATTAGCCTCATTGAACAATAAACTGAAATTTTTAAGAGTGAAGTAATCTATCCAAGATTGTTCAACAAGCATGGAGCAGAGCCAAGATGCAAACCCACATCCCTTTGACTTAGAGGGTCACTGGAAACCCTGGTGGTGTAGTGGTTAAGAGCTGTAGCTGCTAACCAAAAGGCTGGCAGTTTGAATCAACCAGGCGACCCTTGGAAACCCTATGGGGTAGTTCTACTCTTCTGTCCTGTAGGGTCGCTGTGAGTTAAAATTGACTCAGCAGCAACGGGTTTGGTTTTTTTTTGGTTGGAGGGTCACCAGTTCACAATGATGCAGGAGCCAGAAAGAGCTGGTCCTAAAAGACAAACAGCAGTCCCCCAGGCAGTGTTGGGGAGGGAGGTCCGGCAGGGAGAAAGGGTTATAAGGGTTCTGTTGATGTCCCGTAGCCCGCTCTTGGATTACATTTATAGAAAGACAAGGCTGAAAGACCCTTATAGATTCTATAAGCCAAAACTCTTTATTGTTCAAAAGAGGAGACAAAGACTCAGAGACACTGAAGGACTTACCAAAGGCCGTACCTCTGGTGGTGCCAACTCAACAGCAGCTAACAACAACATTGTCCTTAATATGTTTCTTCATCCAATTCTAGGAGTCTATACTAAAGAAAGACTTACACAAGTACACAGAGATATATGCTGCTTTATTTTTTAATTATTATAATTTTTATTTAATGAATTTGTTTATTTTTTCATTAGAGAAAAAAATAGAAACAACTCATCTGTCCATCAGGGAGTTAAATAAACTGTGTCTACCTGTACTGTGCTTGGAATGGAGCTGGTAAAGTGATGGCAGACCCATACAGATGAACAGGGAAAGAGCCCCATGGAACGTTATGTTGGGAGTCCTAGGGGGCAAGGAGAGACAGGGCCCTACACGGTAGGTGATCTCTCCTATAAGCTGAGTAGAATCTTGAGCAGGCGTCTGGAGGAAGGGATAGGAAGGAAGTTTAATAACCGTGTGCTCCAAGTCAGAGTCTGCATAACAAACCCTTCACTGAGTGTTCGGGTCATAGAAAGCACGTATATTTGTGCTGTTTTTTCCATGGCCAAAATTTTACTTTGCCTGGTCTGGTTGACTAATTAGAAATCATATGCAATTTTTACAAAGTGATACTGGACTCAAATGAAGCCAGCGCAGCTCCGCTCCTGGGTATATTTGATCAGGAGTCAGAAAGCCTGCATTTAAATCCTTAATCTACAGCTGACTAGATATTGAACACTGGGCAAGTACATTTGCCTGCCTGCATGAACTTGACCTTCCTCATCTGTGCATTGAGAGGAGTGGATAAAATCATCTGTCTCTTTTGTTGGAAGATTCTGTTAGTCTTTTACTCTTAAGGCTTGTGTCGTATGAATAATAGGAATAATAATTGCTAACATATTTTACTGATTAATGTGCGATAGGGCTGTTCTAAGGCCCTTACATGTATTAACCTTCTAAGCCTCATAGAGAAGGAGTCCTGGTGGTGCAGTGGTTAAAGTGCTCAGCTGTGAACCAAAAGATCAGCGTTTTGAAATCACCAGCCACTCCGCAGGAGAAAGATGTGGCAGGCTGCTTCCGTAAAGATTACAAGCTCGGAAACCCTATGGGGCAGTTCCACTCTCTCTTTCAGCATCACTATGAGTCAGAATCCACTCGATGGCAACGGGTTTGGTTTTGTTTTCTGTTTTCTTCTTTTTAATCAGTGTAGAGTGTGTCCTAAAACCAATCACTTCTGTGTTATTAAAAAAGCATATTAGACACAAAAGCAAGCGTAAATGGAAGTGGGAGGACAGACACTATCTGTCAATGACGGAACTCCAAGCATTGCTGGCTCCTAGAAGCTGAAATAGACAAAGAAGGACCTTTCCCTAGAGCCACCCTCTGAATTTGGACTTTTAGTCTCCCGAACTGTGAGAAACTAAATTTCTGTCCTTTGAGGCGGCCCACTTATGATATTTCTGGTATGGCAGCAGTAGGTAATGATACGAAATAGATACAATTATTTCCATTTTATAGAAGAAGAAACTAGGGCACAGAGACTAACTGTCTTGTCCAAAGTTACACAGCTAGAAAGTCATAGAGCTGGAATCTAATTCCAGGCAGTCAGACTCAAGAGTCCATGATCTTAACCATTCCGTACGCTGTAATTAAAAGTCAACCTTTTAATTGCTGCATGACTTAAAAATTATACAACAAATTAGTGCTAAAGAAACAAATCTGAAGAGCTGTTATGAGAAATGTAGATGAATATGGGAAAATTATCTATAGGAGCCCAAATACAAAAGGGAAGGGAAAATTCTACTCAAATATTTAAGCATTTTGCTAATGCATCGCTTCTGTATACCATAAGTGACTATGGCTACATATTTTCGTATTACAATAATTACAAGAAAAAAGAGGTCACTACTACTGCATTCTTATTCATCATCAGACACACATAGCATTGACACTTTCCATTTTAATTTCACAGATGAAAGAACTGGGTGTCATCTTCTACAACTGCAGCTGCCTGGTCCTAGATTTACAAAGGATATTTGCTTTATATAGTTCACTAAAATTCAAGAGCAGAGTACCTCAGACCTGGTCCAAGAGGCTCTATGGAGTCTATGACAACCAAAAGAAATTGCAACTTCAGTTGAACGAAACCTACTCTCAAGCATTTGTGTCGGTGAGTGTTGCCATCATTCTCCTCCTCCTTCTTCCCACTCTCCTCCAGATGCTTTTTATTAAGTTGGAGTGTTTGAGTGTGACAGTGTATTAGGCAAAAATGAACTATACAGGCTGGGTTCCATTGCATCCCTCAAGGCATTTAACGTGTGTTTACTCTTTATTCACCCATCATATGCTGTCCCTAATGATAATAACAATAATAAATCTTAATAATCATTCCTAGTTTGGGATACTTTGCATTATCTGATTTGATCCCCACAAATGTCCTGTAAGGTAGGCACTGGATTAGGACTGTTTTACAAATGAAGATATTGAAGTTTATCACACAGTTTCGTACAAAGTCCCTCGGATGTGTCAATGAAAGGACCAGCACTCAGATCTTGTGACATCAGATCCTACTTTTGATGCACTACATCAATGATTGGACTGACAGAAAACATCATGATAAATGGAGAAAAAATTGAAGTTGTCAAGGAGTTAATTCTACTTGGATCAACAATCAGTGTCCTTGGAAACAGCGGTCAAGAAATTAAATGATGTATTATTGCATTGGGCAAATCCGTTGCAGAAGACCTCTTTAAAGCATTAAAAAGCAAAGATGTCACTTTGCTGACTAAAATGTGCCTGACTCAAGCCATAGTCTTTTCAACATGTCATATGTGGACAATAAAAAAAGAAGACATAAGAAGAATGGATGCATTTGAATTGTGATGTTGGCAAAGGATATTGAATATACTGTGGACTTCCAGAGAAATAAATAAATCAGTCTTCGAAGAACTACAACCAGAAGCTCCTTAGAAGTGAGGATGGCGAGACATTGGCTCGCTTATTTTGGACACAGCATCAGGAAAGACCAATTGCTAGAAAAAGACATCATGTTGGTGCAGTACAGGGTCAGTAAAAATAAGGGAAGTCCTCCATGAGATGGATTGACACAATAGCCACAACAATGAATTCACACCTAACCAATGATCATAAAGATGGCACAGGATCTCTTTTGTTGTACAGTACATAAAGTCACCAAGAGTCGGAGATGCCTCAATGACAATTAACAACAGCCCTTACCCTCAGACTTTAAAGTATCAGTTGGGGAGCCTCTTTACAATATAGATTTTCAGTTCCTGCCCCCCAGGATTGGATCCACTGGATCTGGGGTGAGACTTTGGACTCTTGAATTGAAACAAGCTTCTGAACTGATCCCGATTCTCAGAAAAACTTCTCTAAATGATGTTACCAATTTAATATTGTTACTTCTCAATTGATGGATATCGAATGTTATGCCAACAGCTTCTATGTCACTAAAGAGCATTTCATTAAGGGATGAATTATATCTTTTTTTGTCTGTTCAAATGAAAGCACAATCTGAAAATTTAGAAATGTAGCAATAGAGATAAAAGAGGAAGTTGACATTGTTTCTGTCCTAAGTAACAAACTACATATATGTGAATAACAGAAAATAAATATGAAGGATTTTATCATATAGAGCTAAAAAAAAAAAAGACCTCAAGCACAAACTTACCTCTTTTTTCATTTCACTTAAATCTTTCCGAATATCCTTCTTCCCTATCTCTCCTGATGAATTTGGGTGTCTTAATAACTCAGTTAGCTTTTCCTCTACAATTATTCATGATCCTTTCTTAACATTCAACAGTCCTCTTCCTGACTCAATGAAAGTTTTGGGGAAAAAAACAACGTTTAGTTTTTTTTTTGTCTTGAAGATTTTTATAGCCATGTCATCTTTCAATTTTTTTTTTTTTTTCCTTGGTAGAAGCTAGGTTGAGTTGAAACTGGCTCAATGGCAACGGGTTGGTTTTTTTGGTTTGGGAGTGCAATAACAAGTATGTTATTAACAAAATTATTTTACATGTATTTGGAGCCCTGGTGGTGCAGTGTTTAAGATCTATAGCTGCTAGGCAAAAGGTCGGCAGTTCAAATCCACCAGCCGCTCCTCGGAAACCCTATGGGGCAGTTCTCCTCTGTCCTGTAGGGTCGCTGTGACTTGAAATCAACTCAGTGGCAACAGGTTTTTTCTTTTTTTTCTTTTTTTTAGACTTACCCGGGTGTATAGCTTGTCAAAATCAAATACGAACTGTGCTAAACACTCTTTTCAATCTTGTCCAGTGGAAAAATAATGAGAAAACCAAAGTACATTTTTCTCTTTCTAGAGCAATTTCATCTAAAAACACTGCATCTTACAAGATGACAGTCACCTCAAGCAACATGAAAAAAAGACCTCAAGCACAAACTTGGCCCCTTTTTTTCATTTCACTTAAATCTTTCAGAATATCCTTCTTCCCTGTCTCTCCTGATGAATTTGGGTGTCCTAATAACTCACTCAGCTTTTCCTCCACAATTATTCATGATCCTTTCTTAACATTCAACAGTCCTCTTCCTGACTCAATGAAAGCTTTGGGTGAAAAAACGTGTTTAGATTTTTTTTGTCTTGAAGATTTTTATAGCCATATCATCTTTCAAATGAAATTACTTCTGGGTTAAATTACTTGCTATGTGTGTATGTATGTATTATATGGTAACACCTGAGAAAATTAGCAGGTATTTGTGAGAGAGCTGTACATCAGAATCACAGAAGTTCAGAGCTAGAGTGCAGAGATGTATATATTGAAAACAAGAATTCTCTCCCAAAACAAACTCAGGGGACAGTCCTGAGACCCATCCCACCACACCTTGATCTCTACGTGCCTCAGCTTTGAGACATTTGAGAAGATACTGTGAAACATGTGAGGGCTGGAACGTGATGGGACAGCCTTGTTTTTCCGGGTCCCACAAGTTTTCCACTTTTGACAGAATGCAGTCTTACAGCTTTTCTATCTCTCATTTTAGTTAAAAAACATTTGAGTTTTCCTTCTCTGACAGGTTTCCCCCTTACACAGTATGATAGTTAAAGTTGTGTGTCAACTTGGCTGGGCCATGATTCTCAGTGATATGATAGTCGTATGATGGTGTGATCCCTTCCATGATGAGATTTGGTATTATGTGATCACCTCCATAATGGGATACGCTGTGAGTAGCCAATCAGTTGAACGGGAGTTTCCTTGGGCATGTGGCCTGCATTGACTATAAGTGGATATTCTGGCAAGTCTTCTGGGCTTTTCCTCATTCTGGATCCTGCAGCTGGCTCCTGTTCATTTGACCTCCAGTTCTTGGGACTTCAGCTAGCAGCGTGCCAATCTTTGGTACTCATCAATCTCTGCAGCTTGTGAGCAGGAGCCCTGCTCTCCATCCTGCAGATCTTGGGTTCACCAGTCCCTGTGGCTGCATGCATCAGGAGGGGCCTCTAACCTGACCCAGGGGCTTGGGACATTCCAGCCTCTGCAGCCTCGTGGGCCATTTCTTTGATATAAATCTCTCTATGTACATGTATTTGTATGCTTTACTGGTTTTGCTTCTTTGGAGAACCCAGCCTAAGACACACAGGTTCTTTTGCAGGTTTTACTGTATTTGTCGAATCTGATAAGGAACTGGAACGTAGATGTGCCAAAATTAGTTAAGAGCGCAAATTCATTTCAACAAAACAAAAGAAATCCCTAGATGAGAAAACTTGTTATTCTATATTAATTTGGTTTTTGTGTCTTCACAGAACTCTCCCAAACTCTTTTGCCCTAAGAACAGAAGCTTTGACATAGATGCCATCTACAGTGTAATAGATGACGCCAAGCAGTTTGTGTTCATAGCCGTCATGGACTACCTGCCTATCTCCAGCACAAGCTCCCGAAGGTCAGTGAGTGCCTAAACCTCCAGTTAGAACTCAGTCTCCAGGACTGGGCACTAACTAGGAGACCACAGGGGAGAGTAGCCTGGACACTGAGATGCTATCAGGTCTGCATTAGGAGGGATCAGCATTCACATCTGTTTGGTGTGCAGCTGCAGTTTACCTATGATGCACCTCTTCTCTGAGTGGATCCATTTTCAGGACTTGGGGTCTCAGCCTACGAAAAGTGCCTCAGTATTGTACATTATAGACAAGTGAGCAAGTTTAGAAAGAAGGTTGGGTTGTCTTCAACTTGAAAAGGTGACTACCAATTCATAATTGTTAATATGTTTAGATGTACCTAAAGATATATAACTGATATAATGCGAGTTCAGATGTACCTAAAGGGCATTCTGAAACTGAGTAGGTCTTGCAAGATTTCCTTTAAAGGAGGAACTACTGCTTTGTCCCATTTATGTGAAAACAAAACAAAACCAGTTGCCATGGAGTCGATTCCGACTCCCTGTGTGCCAGAGTAGGACTGTGCTCCATAGAGCTTTCAATGGCTGATTTCTCAAAAGTAGATTGCCAGGCCTTTCCTCCAAGGTGCCTCTAGATGGACTCAAACCGCCAACCTTTTGGTTAACAGCCAAGCATGTTAACTGTTTGCACCACCTAGAGACTCCTTTATTCATGTCAGGCTTCATTAAGTAATAAATTTTCAAAATATCTTTTCAACTTAAAGGAGACCCATAATAAAAAAAACCCTTTGTTACCTGGTCAACTCCTCAGTCAGTCCATCCCTATGTGTGAGAAAGAGAGCATCTTAAAAATGGAGAGCTCTTTCAATAATTCATCATTGTTTAAGTGTGCAAAGACTTGGAGTAAATTTTGGAGCAGAATTTATGACAAACTCTTTGGAAAATCATTGCATGAATAAATATATGGCCATGTCCCCAGATACTCCTACTTTTGCTTTCTTGCTAGGCTTGCAGAGATTTGGATGGTTATAAATGTTGTGAGTATTAGTTTAATCCAGGAAAAGTTTTCAAAGTGCACATTTCTGGGACTGCAATCAAGACCTTTTTAATTTGAAAAATGACAATTTTGAAACATCCATTTATTGCAGTTAAATGATTAAGTGTGCCCTATATTGCTTGAATGTTTTCCATATCGCCAACCCCCCATATGCATAATATGCAAATGGATATGAGATTGCAAAACAGAGTGCCTCTCCCAGAAAGTGATTGCTCCTGGTGACAATCAGAGTCAAAAATCATGTTAAGCTGCAAGATGCCTATGGTTATTTTCTTTAAAATATCGTGCATCCTCGGGACAGCCATCCATTTTTTTCCATGCACTTTCTATCTTTTCTATCCCTCCTTTGTATGTTTGTCCTGTTTATAGTTGATTTGGTTTTAGATTCAGTTTTAGATTTCATTATCACCTTGAGAAGATTTTGAAACACAACAGATAGGTTTTGCATAATTTTCCTGTTATTTAGAAGAAAAATAAGGTCAAGTTCCTGGAGTTTTATGTTAGAACAGGGTGAATATTTCTCAGGAATGACAAAAGTTTTGCTCCATGAAGTCCCATGAACTCCTGAAGTCCTATAATCCTTCAAAGGGAAGATAGTTAATATGGAAAATCTAAAATATCTTAGAAATCTAAAAGTGACAGAAAACTGAAACAATGTTGAAGAACTGGAGACTTAGGTGAAAACGTACATTTTAGTTGTTAATCTACCCTTTTAGCTGTTATTCAAAGAGCAGTTGTTTTATCATGTTTTTAAAATTTCCAGTCTGTAAATGCCTTTAGCATATTCTGAGGGAAGAGTCCTCAGAGAGACATGAGACATGGTTCAAACATCCAGGTTATAATTCAGTTCTTATCCGTCATACAAATGAAAAAGTTTTTAAAAGTCAGATTGCCTATTTGTCTTTACATAATCCTGGAAAAGTTTTTCAAGAGTGAATTCAACTTGAATAAACACGTAAATATTATCAAATTTTAATGTATTGATGGAATTAATATCCTACAGACTCAATTGTTAGTCTAACACACTGCCAAACTTTCCAATGAAAGGGAAAAAATTTATATACTCACAAATTACAAATGTTGACAACATGTAAAAATATATATCTATATTTTAAAATATTTAAATATGTAAATATAGTATAGATATGGATATGGGTATGAAATTTGATATGGATATGGGTATGAAATTTGATATGGATATGGGTATAGATAAAGGGGCACTGGTGGTGGCAATGGTTAAGTTCTTGGCTGCTAACCAAAAGGTTGGCGGTTCACCCACCCAGAGGCTCCATGGAAGAAAGACTTGGCAATTAGCTCCTGTAAAGATTACAGCCTATAAAACCGTATAGGACAGTTCTGCTTCGTCACACAGAATTGATATGAGTCGAGATCTACTCGACAGCACCTAAAACCAACATAGATAAACATATATACCATCATTTAGCTATAGTGCGAGGAGTCACTACTACTTTTTAAAGTAATAAAAAGTGAATGGAACAGTGATACACAGCTACATAAACCCTGCAGTAAAAATCTACTTCCAAAAAATCAGCCATTGAAAACCCTATGGAACACAGTTCTACTCTGACACACAGAGGGTCATCATGAATCAGAATCAACTCCATGGCAACTGGTTGGATGGTATGTTAGTAGGTAGGGCAATACTAGGAAAGACAGAATAAAGGAAGCATATTCCAGGAATATTGCTGAGGTACATAGTGATTGGTAAAAAGGAGAACAAATACAAGAATGATTCACAGGTTTTTACTTTGGGTAATTAGATGATCATGAAGGCTATACAAATACTGAAGGTTACAAAGACTATAGGTAAATAAGCAGATTTGTGGATTTGAAGTTCATGGGACGATCCAGGGGGAATATCCAGAATGAAGTCTAAAGAGGGTTAGCCAAGTGATGTGAATTTGGAGGGCTTAAGAATATAGAGAGCCCTGGTGATGTACTGGTTAAGATCTCAGCTGCTAACAAAAGGTAGGCAATTCAAATCCACCAGCAGCTCCTTGGAAACCCTATAGGGCGGTTGTACTCTGTCCTATAGAGTCGCTCTGAGTCAGAATCGACCCAGCGGCAATGGGTTTTGGTAAAAATATAGATGACAGTTGAAAGCAAGTGAGTAGATGAAGCTGCCCATGGAGATGGCATGTAGAGTGAAAGGAAGACGAGGATGGTGATAGAATCTTAAGGGAGCATTGATATTTAGGGAAGAGATCCTACAACAGGTAAAGAAGCAGTTCATCAGATCAGGGGTAGATGAGCAAACTATAGAGTCATAGAAGCCAATGGAATTGATTTTTAAGAAAAACCTTAAACCAAAAATATCCCCTGAACTGAGGTCTTCTCAAAACCAAACAATAGTTTAGCTTAACTAGTAAAGAATGTCTACCTTGAGCATTGAGCTCTTTTATTATCTATCTATACGGATCAAACTGACAACAACTCAAAAGATTAGACTGGAAATTTAGGGGCAGTGAGTTTATGTTAATGGAGAGGAACAACTCAGAATGAACTTGAAGAATGTAGTTAATGTTACTGAACTGTCGATGTAGAAATTGTTGAATTGGTATATGTTCTCCTGTGTATATTTTCAACAATAACAACAAAATATTTTTTTAATTATTAAAAAAAAAAGAAGAAAAGAACCATCAACACATGCAGCCAAGTCTAACAATAAAATAAGAACTGAATGACGTCCACTAGATTTGTCAGTTGGGGTATTACTGATAACTTTGACTAGAAGATTTGCAACAGAACCTTGGTTCAGAGGCTGGGGACAGTGGACTGAGCAGTGAATGAGAATTGATGAAGTGAGGTCAGAGGTTCTATCCTATTCTATCCTATAAGATTGGTATGAGTCGGAATCAACTCAATGGCAATAGGTTTGGTTTTTGGTTTTGGAAATCTGCACAAGGAGCCCTGGTGGCGCAGCAGTTAAGCACGTGACTGCTATCTGAAAGGTTGGTGGTTTAAATCCACCAGCCACTCGTCGGGAGAAAGGTGTGGCAATCTGCTTCTGGAAAGATTTACAGCCTTGGAAACTTGATAGGGCAGTTCTACTCTGTTATATAGGGTCACTATGAATCGGAATCGACTCCACAGCCATGGGTTTGGTTTGGTTTGGTTGTTTAAGTCTGCACAGTGCTGAAATTATTCTTTCCAGTAGTCCTCAGCTTTTGGGGTATAGAAATCTGGAATTATAGCACTGAAACAGGATTTAGGCTTGCCAAAAGCTAGAGGAAGGTGGAGACGGAACCATTCTTCAAGGGATCAGGACTTGAATCAGGCTGGGCTCGGAAAGGGGATGATGGACCAGGAGAAAGTGGAGGGATGGTGGATCTGGAGCCTTCGGGGGTCAAAGAGCAGGTTTAGTCTGAGCAAGAGTGTGGGAGACCGTAAAGGCAGAAGGATGTGGTCAGATAGAAAGAGGAGACCTTTGGAGGTGCAATGATTACGTGACTGACAGGCCAAGGTTATTAATAATATACCATTAGTCGAAGCAGTGAATTTCCCCAAATTAGGGCTAGATTTGGGTGGGGATAAATGCCGGATACCAAAGGCCAAAATCTTTCAGGAATGTGGGAGAGTAAACAGTTCTACAAATGACAGTATTGAGGAGAGGTCAAGAGAGGGATTTAAGGGTTGGGACTAAGACAGGAAAATCGTTTTTCATTTTCTTTTTTGGTATTTTTTTATTGTGGTAAAAATATATTTAAGAAAGATTTTTGTTTTTTAATATGAGAATTAATTCTGGAATGACATTGTGTGGGCATGGGCAAAAGCTGGCCCCCCATCCTAAACCAAGTGGGTGGGTTGCGGTAGAAAACACATGGAAAGACATGAGGAGAAACCATGGTCTCATGGAAGAACCAGGATTTAGTTAAGGCAAAAGGCTAAGAGAAGATTCATAGAAGAAACTGAGTTTATGGGGAAAACTGTTTGCCTAGTAGAGAATGCCAGTTGCCCAGAAAAAAGAGTAGGAGGTGGGGGAGTAATGGGAGGCTTGATCAGGAAAGAAGAGGCTAGGGACAATCTGGAGCTAAGAGCATAGGAGAGCTCAGGTAACCAGAGCTGACGCTTGTTTGAGGCAGTTACAAAAGAAGACAGGTTTGAGCAGCATTTCGTTCAGAGTGGGTGTCATGGGAATACTGTTGGAAAATTGATTCTGAGTGCACATAGAAACTGAGGCCCAGATTGGAGGTGTAGTGAAGGTGGCACATGGTGGCAGTCAGTCTGCATGCACCCTAGGCCTACCAGGCAGGGGTGCTGGTGGTGGGAGCCCTCACTGTAGGCAGGGCTAGGTCTCAATAAAACACCGTCTTTCAGTGCTCTAACCCCGGCGCCATTTTTTCAACATATCCTACAAGGCCATTTACGTATTACAGAACAAAGTAATGATCAGATTAGATTAATATAAATGTTCTCTGTGGGATAGTACGTTTCTTTCCCAAACTAAGTTATTTTCTTTATTTTTGTCTATATGGATATTATTTCTGCAGGACTTACTGGCCAGATTTGGATGGGAAAATAAGAGAAGCATTAGTTTTGCGAAGCGTTAAAGTTCGACTCCTTATAAGCTTCTGGAAGGACACTGATCCCCTTACATTTAACTTTATTTCATCTCTTAAAGCTATTTGCACTGAAATAGCCAACTGCAGTTTGAAAGTTGTAAGTATTATATTTACTGTACTATTGAATGAAATGTTTATTCGCTTGTACATCTGTGAAAGCAGTATATGCATATATGTGGACTTCCAATAACAATCTTTGATAGTGAAAAATATTTTAAAATATAGTTTCATATTTTCATTTTATATGCTCATTTATTTTCTCGCATTTCAAATGTTTGGTGTTTGTTAGGATCCTCACTTAGTTGTGAATTCATTTTCATAGAATTTGAAAGCAAGAAGGAGTACTTGAGAATTATTTGGGTATTTATAACACTATGCAAATGGACAACATACCAAAACCAAACCAGTTGCCATCAAGTCAACTCTGACTCCTGGGGACCCCATGTGTGTCAGAGTAGAACTGTGCTCCAGAGGGTTTTCAATGGTTATGATCTTTTGGAACTAGATCACCAGGCCTTTCTTCTCAGGTGCCTCTGAGTGGGCTTAAATCACCAACCTTTCCATAACCCATTGCTGTTGAGTCAATTCTGACTCATAGTGACCCTACAGGACAGAGTAGAACTGCCCCATAGAGTTTCCAAGGAGCGGGTGGTGGATTCAAACTACTGACCTTTTAGTTAGCAGCCAGATGCTTAAGCAGTGCACCATCGGGGCTCCTCATGGAGCTTAGAGAGACAGAAATTAAAAAATAGATGAACAAAGTTGCCTTTTACAGTCACTCATCATGTTCTTTGGTTTTCTTTCACTGTACTTACTACAAGTGTTTATATTCATGTTTTTATGTGGGCATTATTTGTTAAATATCTGATTTACCCACTAGAGCATAGGGCTCCATGAAGACAGAGACCCAAGTCTGTTGTACTCACTGCTGTATCTTTTTAAACACAGATGGTCACATTACTTAAATAAAACAAACATTAATAGCCTACGGCTGGCTGTTCCATAAAGCAGAGACTCCATCTAAGCCAAGCCATTAATTTCTAAGCATCAAGACGAGCCTAGGTGGAACGAAGCTTGGGCACAACATCTAGAACACAGATGGATGATGAGTTCTTCAAGAAAAGCCGGCTCTGGGGGCCTTGCACGTAGCTTATCTTCAGGAGTCTCCACAGTACTGATAGCACAAGAGGGCTTGGGGGCTACTCAGGGAATCTCCATCCTCACAGGGTTGGGCAGGGCCTGCCCTGATGTGGGTGTGTATTCTCCAGGCACCTCATGAAGAAAAAACTGTGTGACTCACAAGTCTGTCCTGGTTAGCTGGGTTTTCATTTTTTTCATAAATTAAGAAATCACTTTTGAAATGCCTTTGTTTGCAGTCACCTACACCTGGTATCTAATAACGTGTCAGTGAATAACGTGATTTTGGCTGTCATTTCCATTTCCCAGGTAAAGCTATTTCCCCACTTTGGGGCCATATTTGACTTTCTAGAGCAAATGGATTCTCACCAAAGCCTCAAACTATCATTCTATTCCTGACTTTAATTGTTGTTGTCGTTAGGTGCTGTAGTGTCGGTTTCAACTCCTAACAACTCTATTATGTACAACAGAATGAAATACTGCCTGGTCCTGTGCCATCCTCACAATCGTTGCTATGTTTGAGCCCATTATTGCAGCCACTGTGTCACTCTACCTTGTTGAGGGACTTCCTCTTTTTCACTAACCCTCTACTCTACCAAGCATGACGTCCTTCACCAGGGTCTGGTCCCTCCTGATGACATGTCCAAAGAATATAAGATAAAGTCTTGCCATCCTCCCTTCTAAGGAGCATTCTAGCTGTACTGCTTCCAAGATAGGTTTGTTTGTTCTTCAGGCAGTCCATGGTATATTCAATATTCTTGGCCAACACCATAATTCAAAGGCATCAATTCTTCTTCAGTCTTCCTTAATCATTGTCCAGCTTTTGCATGCATATGAGGCGACTGAAAATACCATGGCTTGGGTCAGGCACACCTTAGTCCTTTAGTTAGGATATATATTTTTTTTTCTTTTTCAAATTCATCCTGATTCTACAATAATATCTTCCTCAAGAGGAAATAGTCAAATGGTTGGACATGTTTTGAAATAAACAGGATACCCAAGCAAGGTGACTAACGGCTGTTACTTAGTAGTGGCACTCTTAGTACTCACATGTCCTCATGAATATCTAATTATGATTTAAGAGCATCCCCTGATTATTAAGCCAATTTCAGTAGTCCACAAACACTACATGTGTACCCTCCAAACTGGCACAGATTTTGCAGAAGATGCCAACTGAAGAAGTAAGGGGATCCGGACCTCGTTGCCTATAAGCATGACGATGTGCCCGTAGGAGAATGTTCCTCTGTGTTGTAGAGTAGACAGTTCTGGGTGGTAGATTTTGGCCTGTGCGCCACTGATGTCAAGGGTTCCTCACAAAATCAGAATAGAATTTTCAGGGCCTAAAGGACCATGGTGATCACGTAGTTTATCACCCCGTCCCACCGATGGGGGGAAGGGGAAGATCAATTTCATGATTTCCAAAACTGAATTTGAACACTTTTAAAACTGTAAATGACTTCTCCATTTCTAGGTGTCATCTCATTTTTCTCTCTGCCTCTTATTTCTTTCAAAACACACATGATTCCACAGCTGTAAGACATTCCAGAAAGATTCCATGAAGTTCTGAAAATGTTGAACATCTTCCAATGTTTTCCTGAGCCCCTTGCCTTTGACTGGCATCTTCCTGGGATCTCAGTCATACTGTAAGCCTCATCTAAAACAATTGCCATTGCATTAGCTTCAATTCAAGGCAGCCCCATGTGTGTCAGAGTAGAATTAGTAGAACTGTACCCCACAATTTTCAATGGCTGATTTTTTGGAAGTAGATGGCCAGACTTTTCTTCTAAGGTGCCTCTTGGTAGACTCGAACCTCCAACCTTTCAGTTAGCAGCCAAGCACATTAACTGTTTGCACCACCCAGGGACTCCCAGCCTCGTCTAAGCACTTAGCAAATTCAGTGGACTAGCTACTCCGGCTCTCGATTCCCTTCTCTTATCTGGCCTTGGGTAGAATGGAATGCTGCTTTTTGGGCCACATTAAAGCTGAAATTCAGGATTCTTGGCTTGGCGTTGTGATTTTTTTTTTTTTTTTTTCTTCTTTTTGAGTTGCCTATTGAAAGAGCTTGCAGACCTAGGTGTTTAGAAGGAAAGTATTTGTTCCCTTGGCAAAATCTACTTTGACCTTTGCAAATCCCCAGTTTAATCAGCTAGTCATTGAGATGGGCCTGCTGCCTCTTATAATGTAGGCAACATGTAAGAATATTCATTCAGTTCATTGGCATGCTCGACAGAAAGCACCCTCAGGCAGACTTCAAATGCCAGTGCGCTCTAATGAATAAGACAATTAGAATTAAACAACCTTCTGCTAGCCCTCACCCTACTGAAAGAATGAATTTTGTGTTCATTTTGTAGCTTGAAAGTGTTAATTATAGACCTGGTTGAGCATGCTAATTTTCCCTCTTGTTGCTTATATAGCTTTGAGAACAAAAATAGCTTCATCTATATGAAGTCACAAGATGGTGGTTTTATAACAACTCAGTATGAGGTCTGTTGTTGATATTTGGATAATACCCTCTTTTGTGCTTTTGAACAAGATCAAAATCGTTCTCCACTCACCTGCTTTATTTTCCTTTGTCTTACAGAAATTTTTTGATCTGGAAACAGAGAATGCTTGTGCTATAAAAGAACAAAAGAACAACACCTTTCCTAAATTAAATCGCAACAAGTACATGGTGACTGATGGAGCAGCTTATATTGGTAGGTGTTGGACTTTATGTAAGGCTCCTTAGGGATCATCCAGTTTAGTGGTCATCATACTGTGCCCTTCAGTACCCCATGGTAAGGAAGCAATGCCTGGGAGCCACTGCGGGTGAGTGGGGGAGACCCTGAGGTTAGGAAACAGGTGCATGAGGGCAGAGAGCTCATCCACTAAACATTTCCTCTATTGCCTGATTTATATGCTAGGATTTCATTTAAGATGTATTTGGATAAATGTTTTGCAGAAAGTTTGTGGTCCATTTGCTTCATTTTACAGGTGAGGAGTTGAATGACTCATTCAAGATGAATCCTGGCACTAGCACCAGCAAGCCTCTTTCATTGCCCTATTCCATGGGCCAGCCTGTCCTGAGTAATGGAAGGCTTATAGTGGAGCAATTCAGTGACAACTGTGCCGTGGCCTGGGCAATAAAACTATCCCTGCCATTTTCTAAATGTCTAACTTGGGACAATATACTTAGGATGTCTAAACCTTAGTTCTCTCATCTGTCAAATGAGACTAATAATACTTTCTACTTTATTGGGTGAAATTTAAATAGAACAATGTATTAAAAAGCACCTTGTACAACTAAAGCACCTGGCACAGAGATCGTTGTTGTTAGCTGCCGTCCCTTGAATTGGCCCCCAACTCATGGTGACCCCATGCACAACGGAACAAAATGCTGCCAGGCCCGCGCTGTCCTTACGATCGCTTGGGGATCGGACTGTTGTGATCCAGGAGGTTTTCATTGTCTGAGTCTCGGAAGTAGATTAGCAGGCCTCTCTTGCTAGTATGTCTTAGTCTGGGAGCTCTGCTGAAACCTGCTCAGCATCATAGAAACACGTAAGCCTCCACTGACAGAAAGTTGGTGGCTGCACATGAGGTGAATTGACCAGGAATCAAACCCAGGTCTCCCCCACGGAAGGCAAGAATTCTACCACTGAATCAGCAGTGCCTCGTGGCACAGAGATAATACTCAATTAATGTTATCTATTTTATTAAGGTAATAAAGCTCCAGATGCAGAAATCAGACATACTAGTGGGATGATTTACCAATCTATAAAACCTACTCTAATTTCCCATGATATATGGGTCCATGGTAACTCCTCAACCCATATGGTCACATTATTATTATCTATAAAAAGAAGGCACATAAATCCAAAAATAACAGTATGATTATTACATTGTACAGATTAAGTGGCAGTCTCAAAAGAGAAAAGAAAACGTGTGCGAAACGTAGGAATATGGAATCAGTATCAATTGTTCCCACAAATTCAGTAAATAAAAAAATATATCCTCTTATATTTTTAGGGTGCTTTTAACTTTGTAGAGTACTTTTTTATCTTATTTGGTTCTCTTAACAAAGATGCCAATAGAGAGGGCAGCTTTTATCATCTGCAGTTTAGAAACAAGGAAACTTGAGCCCTAAGACATAAGTGACTTAGGTATGCAAATATAAGGGATAAAGGAACTAGGTCTAGAATACAGGCGCCCAGACCCCTCACCCCTCCATCTCTTCAGTATATACCACCATTGGCCATGTGAAGGGTTACTAACTTCTGTCTCTGTGTGAAGATGTTCTGTCTTTTTCCATTTTTAATAGTTATGACATCACATTAGTGGAATAGAGTATTAGAATATTTTAATGTATATCATTCTAGTTGTTCTGGAAGATGAGAATATTATTTTATTCCTGTTGTCCCTCTCAGTGACCCAAGATGTGGTTATTTGGAGTCTCTCACGTTCATCAATATGTGGAGAATAGAGTAGCATCAGCTTCTTTTTAAGCATGTTACAAATAACAACAACAAATCTCAAAGTTGTTTAACCCAGACAGGAAACTTTTGGCTCAATTATTGGAAAACCCAGGGATAGAGCAGGTTTCAGACACAGCAGGATTTAGGGACTCAAATCTGGGTAGTTTACATGTGGGATTTAAAGAAAGGTGTTGTGTATACATTCCACAAAGGCTCATACACGTATCTAAATGTTCTTCGGGGAATTAAATAATTTTTGGAGTCAGACAAGCCTAGATTTAAATTCCAGCACTGACACTTGGAAAATGGAAGATGGTGGAAAGTCACGTAATCTCTTGGAGCGTGTTTTCTTATCTGTAAAGTGGAGATAATAGCACCCCACCTTTGATAGTGGCATGGGGATTAAATGTGATAATCTATGAAAAGCTCCTAACACCATTTCTGATCTATCTAGAGTCTTAGTAAATATTGATTCCTTGCTTTCTTTCCCTTCCTTTTCCCTATATAGCATGTTTTTAAATGAGTTCATTTTACACATAACATTTTAGCAAAACATTAATTGCCTAGAGTGAAGCATAGTTCTACTATAAAATTATCAAAGCATATCAAGAGAGAAAAGTTGTTGATAATGTAAATAATTACCAGCATGTTCTGGAAATCTCTTAAGTCGTCACTCAGACACTTGCTGGGAATGCTGAATTAAGAAAAATGTGCACTAGACTTTGCATGGAATTATAGCTCCATTGAGTTTTCACAAGACTTACAGAAGAATCCCCAAACCAGTATCATCTCTCTAATTTTGAATTCTCCATAGTATATATGAGTCAGGCCTGGTAAATTTGCCTGGAAGATTGTTTGAATTATTTGCAGTCTGACAGGAGTATTAGGTTAATGGTGGCCCTCAAAGGCCCATTTCACACCTTCCCAAGTGAGCTTATCTGCAACTCTCATTTTCCTGTTCTTAAGGGTGATGCCACAGTTCTCCAGGCAACTGGGTCTTAAAAGGCGTTTTGGAAGCTGAAGTGGTAGTCTCAAAGAAGCTGGGTGAAACTGCATCCCAATTTAAAAAACTCTGAAGCATATATATATGTGGTTTTGATGTTTAGCCAAACCATCAGAAAGTGAAAGGTAGGAAAAAATAGTCACAATGGTGTAGGAATTCCTCTGTGGAAGAGCTGTAATTCACTGTTGTTAGTTGCTATCAAGTCAGCTCAGACTCAGACCTTATGTATAACAGAACAAACGAAATGTTGCCCGGTCCTGCGCCATCTTCATGATCATTGGTATGTTTGAGTCCATTGTTGGAGGTATCGTGTCAATTTGTCTCATTGAGGGTTTTCCTTGTCTTGGTAGGTTCTCTACCAAACAGGATGTTCTTTTCTAGTGACTGGTCTTTTCTGATAACATGTCTATAAAGGACAATATTCTATTGTGATCCATAAGGTGTTGACTGACTAATTTTCAGAAGCAGATCATCAGATCTTTCTTTCTCATCTGTCTTAGTCTAGAAGCTCTGCTGAAGCTGGTCTTGCTGTTATTTGAAATACCGGTGGCATAGCTTCCAACATTATAGCAACATGTCAGTACAACAAACTGACAGACAAGTGGTGGATAATTACTGAGAAGAACCTAATTAAATCTTCTGAGGACCAATAAAGACACGGGATCCTGGTTCCATCCATTGTACTGAAGGGAAAAGCCTGAATTCAAACAATACTGCTTCGAAATCTTGCCATTTCTCTCCCTCATCTCTTTCCTGTCCCATGCTACTCTCAAAAGTATATTTCTTTTTTTAAATTTTTTTTATTGTACTTTAGATGAAGGTTTACAGAACAAATAATTTCTCATTAAACAGTTAGTACACATATTGTTTTATGACATTGGTTAACAACCCCGCGACATGTCAACGCTCTACCTTCTCAACCTTGGGTTCCCTATTACCAGTTTTCCTGTCCCCTCCTGCCTTCTAGTCCTTGTCCCTGGCTGTTGTGCCCCATTAGTGTCGTCTTGTTTTACGGGTTTGTCTAATCTTTGGCTGAAGGATGAACATCAGGAGTGACTTCATTACTGAGCTAAAAGAGTGTCGGGGAGACATACTCTTGGGGTTTCTCCAGTCTCTGTCAGGCCAGTAAGTCTGGTCTTTTTTTATTTTATTTTAACTGCGTAGTTTAAATGAAGTTTACATTTCAAGTTAGTCTCCCATAGAAAAATTTATACATAAATTGTTATGTGACCCTAATTGCTCTGCTCATACTATGACAGAACACTCCTCGTTTCCACCCCTGATTCCCCGTGTCCATTTAACCAGCTCCTAACCCTCTCTGCCTTCCCATCTCACCTCCGGACAGAAGCTTCCCATTTAGTCTCTTGTATCTACTTGAGCTAAGAGGCACACTCCTCACGAGTATCACTTCATGTCCCACAGTCCAGTCCAATCCCTGTCTGAAGAGTTGATCTCAGAAATTTAGTTCTGGGCTGATAGAGAATCTGGGGCCATGCTTTCCAGGGTTCCTCCAGTCTCATTCAGAAGTCTGGTCCTTTTTGTGAGTTAGAATTTTGTTCCCAAAAGCATATTTCTGTGTATGTTTCCTTCAGAGAATGTGGCCCCGAATGAATGGGTCAGAAGTTTCAGCGTGGTTGCAATGCTTCTGCCCTGAGGGTGATACTGTAGTCCAGGGCGGAAGTCACAATCAGTAACACAAAGAAGCCGTTATACTCAGAGGTGATCAGGGATGGAAGCGTTAAGTGTGGGCTGTGAAGTTCAACCTGGCTTTGAACTTCAGTTCTGCTACTTCTTATCATTGCCTTGAACAAATTACTTAACCTTTCTGGGTCTTAATTTCCTCATTAGTAAATAGAGTTAGTATTACCACCTCATGGGATTGTAGTGAATATTGCATGAGATAATGTATTTACTGCCCTTGGTAGGGTGCCTGGCATTTAGCTGTAGAGATGGGATTTTAGTGCCTTGTCCAAAAGTCCCTGGAAGGCATGCAAGACCTCAGTATTTTGTTTCTGGAATGAGCAGAAGATGCTGTCTGCCATCAGGCTTCTGGATAATTCTCAATCAGCAGTTGTTACCAATCCCCAGTATAGCAACCCAGCTCTGTATAAACTTGGCCCTGAGCATTTCCACAGACCCACGGCCTCTGAGAGTGGCCGCATCGTTGAGAGCACAGAATCAAGAACACAGCACTCGCAAAGAGGATTTCTGTGCAGAGACCCCTGACCCAATATCATGAGCCATTTGGAAGACAGTTCACTAGTTTATATCAGTAAAATTGGCCCAAAGATATGTCTGTCATTAAGCTATTGACAACACTGTGGGATTTATACGTGTGTGAGAGAGAGAGATCTTTCACTATACTGATAACATTTGATTCAGGGACTTGCTATTCGTAGGCCCCTAGGAGTAATTTAAGGAGTAAAGTGAGGGACAAGGGAACTTCCTTTCAATATTTGAGGGGGTGCCACATGGAAAAGGGATTTTATATGTGTGTGTTGTGGGGGGTGCCTCCAGAGGGCAGAGGAGGGATGAAACAGATGAAAGCTATAAAGGAAAACATGTTCGCTCTCTGTGGCAGTGCCTTCTCTCAGCGGCTTCTCCCACAGATAGCTGCAGGGTCTTGGGTTAAGGATGCCCAGGGCCCAATGATCTCAGTGTCTTTTTCAACAAGTTTTCCTGCACTGAGACAATGGAAGTTCAAACTCTTAAAAGAATCCTTTAAGGAACCAGCTCTTAACCAAAGAGATCAACTGGGAGCTTAGACCAGATCTGGGCTAATGGTAATTTAAGACTCAGTCTTTTTCAGTCTTGTTGGTGTTGTTAGTTGCTGTTGAGTCAATTCTGATTCATGGCGACCCCATGGGTGCAGAGTAGAACTGCTCCATAGAGTTTTCAATGGCTGTGACCTTTTGGAAGCAGATCACCAGGCCTGTCTTCCAAGGCACCTCTGGGTAGGTTCTAGCTGCCAACTTTTTGGCTAGTAGTTGAGCTCTTAACCTTTTGGTCCACCCAGGGACTTAATATGGCTAAATTTTTTTTAGTGAGAATGATTCTTAGTGCGTGGTATTGTGGATAGTTCATGGAGTCTGGCAGACTTTGGTTTCATCATTTATTGGCCATGTGACCTTGGGCAAATTTATTGCTCTCTTTTTTGCCTTACTCTCCTCATCTATAAAGTGGAGGTAAATCCTACCAACCACATAATATATACAGAACACCAAGTGTACTGCTTCACTCATAGTAGGCATTTAATAAATGATATTTCCACTACGTTTGACACCCCTTATATCCTGACTCCCTAGCTCCTCCCCTTCATGCTCCAATAGCCCAACCATATCTTGTCTACAAACATGTCATCCTGTCTTGGGGGTGTGTCTCTCTCTTTCCCTAGTGGATAAATTTCTATGCATCTCTCAATTACTTATCTGACACATCTAGCCAGCATCAGAAATTCCTTTATTCTTGCCCTCGTGGCATTATATACATACATCTCTTCTACTATCTCATACACTTGACATTGTAATTATTATGTTTCCCTACTGGACTCCTTGAAGGCAGGGACTGCTATTTTCAGTTTTATATTCCTAGCACCTAATATAGCACCTGATTACAGTGGGCACTTAGAAATATGTGTTGAATAAATGACAAAGGAGATAAAAGAAGTAAACTGTACTGTACTTTACTGAGGGGAATCCTTTGTTCTCCTGCTGGATCCCTCTCCCCTCTTGGGTACCAAAGACAAGAGGTTAGCTGTGGATATCCTGAGGTTTTGTTGTTGGTAGTCACCATCAAGTCGACTCCAACTCATGGCGACCCCACATACAACAGAACAGAACGTTGCCCAGTTGCCCAGTTCTGTGCCATCTTCATGATGGTGTGCTCAAGTCCACTGTGTATTTTGAGTGCCTTCCAACCAAGGGGTCTCATCTTTCAGCAATATATTAGACAATATTCCATTGTGATCCATCCAGTTTTCATTGGTTAATTTTTGGAAGTAGATCACCAGGCCTTTCTTCCTAATCTGTCTTAGACTGGAAGCTCTACTGAAACCTGTCCACCATGGGTGACCCTGCTGGTATTTGAAATACCTGTGTCATAGTTCCCAGCATCATAGCAATATACAAGCCACCACAATATGACAAACTGACAGACAAGTGGTGGATCTTGGGGGTAGTCCAGCCCTTTTATTGACCCCCTCCTTGAATATGGGGCTCCATGTGAGTGAGGTAGCCATGATGAGCCTGTCCTGGAGCAGATGCCAGCAGCCATACCTGGGAAGCTTACAGCCACTGCCCAGACTCCTGAGCCAAGGGGCCTGATCCCCCGACTGAAAAATGATTTATAACCCAAGCAAGCCAATTTTTGTGTATTCAGTTAGAACTGATGCTCCTTCTCCGACTTCAGCTTTCTCTTTGATGTGGAAGCTTTTGAGCATTATAATTAGAATTCCTCATTTGTACATATGGATTAGATGTTGTCTCTTTGAGAAGGTAGTAATTGTTCACAGGATTTTTAAGTGTATTCCTATATATTTTAAAAGTTGCTGTATTCAGTGTGTCTTGTGAATGTCAATAAGAAATAACATTTACAAAAAAGGAACAGCAGATTCCTTGTTTTGAGTTTCAAGCTGAGCAAAGGTGCAGAAAATGCCAAAATAATATGCCAGTATTAATATACCATATGTAAAGCTTCTTGGAATTTTTTTTTTTTTTTCCCTGAGCTGTCAACACAATTTGGTCTCCCTGTCATTGTTCCTGGGTGTTTATTTATTTATTTGTTTTAATAAAATTTGCTCTGTATTTCATTATATCAGGAATGTTCCCCAGTGGATGTTACTTCTCACCATGATTTCCTTTGTTTGTTTGCAGGAAATTTTGACTGGGTAGGGAATGATTTTACTCAGAATGCCGGCACAGGCCTTGTTATCAACCAAGTAGATGTGACCAACGATACAAGCATCATTAAGCAACTTAAAGATGTGTTTGAGAGGGACTGGTATTCACCCTATGCCAGAAGCTTACAGCCAACCAAACAGCCGAACTGCTCAAGCCTGTTCAAACTCAAACCCCCCTCCAACAAAACTGTCACATACAATGCAAGCGGGAAGGACCCTTGAGTGCTCATCAAGAATAAACAGACTGACAGGACAACTCTGAATTTCATATTTACATATAAAGGATTTGAGGAAAGAAAACCCATTTAATATGTCCTTTTCTTGAGGAAAAAGCACACTTATTAAAAAAGTTCTCTGAAGTACTTGTAACATCTGTCTAACAATATCTTAGCGCCATGTACACGAAATTTAAGACTTTTATATTGTTACTTCTGACAGAGAATGTCATTTCGGCTTAGAAGGTAGTTTTTACGTTTGCATACAAATTTTAAAACTTTGATTCCTCTTCCTTTCTAGTTTTAGAACTTTTTCTGCTGACCCACCTGGTCAATTCTTAGGAAGCTTAGCATGAGGTAAGCTCTTTAACACCAGACTGAGAACTGCTGACTTAGAGAGGAGAGTGAGGATTTCGCCTTGGAGAGGAGACTGATAAAAGCAAGTATTTATCCTTGTAAACCACCTCCAAGACCTATACAGTCATCTAAGCATGAACAGCTTACATCTCGTGCCAGCTTTCAAAACTGTTCAAAAAATACCCTTTTTCCCTTCTTATTCAGTTTTTGCTAATACCATAGCTTTCATTTTGTATCACTTTCACTTATCACAAAATGCTCTTTTTATATGGACTCCCTATATTCACCTCAGCATTAGTTCCAAGTATGATCATATCTTTTGAAAATGTATGACGGCCTCAGAATGGATACAAAACGGAAATGGCCGTCTTTAATTTTCACCTTTCAACTGCATCTTTTTTCCTACCAAATTGGTACTTAACCACAGCCAGCAATATGTTTAACATTTTCTTTTCTCTCAAACTCAGAAAAAATTATGTAGCCAACTGCTAATATTCAGCAAGCTATGAAGTCTCCATTTCGAGCATAAAGTTTCTCACTTTTTTTAGTTTATGATATTATAAAGGAAAGATCTTTATGCATCAGTGGATTTTAATTTCTTTAGAATCATTATGCTGTTAAGAGGATGCCAGCAAATGTTTATAGAGCTATTTAATATACCTTCAGCTATTTAATATACCAAATGCTTTTCGGAGAAATGCAATTTAAATACTGTGCTTAACATATTTTATTAAGAAACAAAAATTCTGATTGAATTATTGTTCTATAATGCTGTTGTGTGTTGTTGTTTTCTATCTATACAATATATAATTCTGTATTAATGGAGACTGTTGTCACGTGAGAGAGAGGCATGGCCTCTTCAGGGCCAGTGCAGATGGTCAGGCTGCCTAGTCCTGACATTGCTCCTGACGCCATCCATGGCCTCGAACAGAGTCCTTCCCACCTTGGCCTCGGTTTCTATTGGTAATGTAGTAACAGTCAGACTCACCTACCTCGCCGGGATGTTGTGGTAGGACATGTTTATAACTTGTTCTGAAATCAAAAGAGCCTATATAAATGCTAAGCATTATGGTGTATAATCTTTTCTTGAAATCATCTTTGTGGTATCCTAATGGAATCAACACTGGGTCCTTCCTGAAAATCCAGAAGGGGAGAACAAACCCACAGCTTCCTATTGCAAATGTGGATGAAATGAACACAGCAACACAAAAACTGGGCAGAGATCTGGATCATCTTCATGATGGAATATTTTGTCTGGTCACTTTGGCAAAAATAACATCAACACGTAACCAGACATTGTGCCAGGCATTGTTCTTTAGGATCAACATACACATGAGTTTTTAGAGCAAGGAAGAGCAATCTCACTTTTTTTCTCCCCTAGAGGCTTGATTTCTAATATGCCAAAAAGTGTGATGAAAGAACCCGTGGATCTTATCCAGTGGGTTCACATGGTGTAGAACAGCCATTGTTGGTGTTCCAGCAATCAGATACCTGCCTTTCTTACTATTTTCAAATATTGCTTCACTGGATATCTCACCGACCAGAGAAGAGAGCTAGAACAGAGCATTATTGTTTAGGGCGGCACGTTTTTATGAACGGTTGGAGAATTCTCACTAATACTCTTCATCAGTAATGGCCAGCTCAGAAAACTCTAAATACTTAACCCATACCCTATTCTCCCTAGAATAAAGAGTTATCCTGCCAATCCTCCAGGGAAATAAAGGTGGTTTTGGTGATGATTAGAAAAAAGAAAGAAAGCAAAGATTAGGAGTGAAGACAAACAAACATGACAAGTTCAGTCTTTGACAAGAAAGGCAATCTTGGGTGAGTTTTAGAAGGACATCTAAAGGGAAAAGAGATGGCTGCTTTCTTGTTGGTTCTCCAGTTCTCACCCGGAGTATTTGTGCACAGCCATGGGACAAGGGTAGGCTTGCTGTAATTGTGCCACTTCACTGTCACTAACTTTTACATGGGATAAAAAACAAACCAAACCCGTTGCTGTTGAGTTGATTCTGACTCATAGTGACCCATAGGACGGAGTAGAACTGCCCCATAGAGTTTCCACGGAGTGCCTGGTGGATTCAAACTGCTGACCTTTTGGTTAGCAGCCATAGCCCTTAACACTACGGCACAGAGTTTCCTTACATGGGATAGGAGAAGAGAATTTTATCCTATATGAAATGGCCATCGTTGTCATTTTCTTCCAAGCCCAAGCAAAATGGTAGCACCAGGAACTGTGTCCCAGGATTTCCTGCCATTCACTAGCAGCAGCAAAGCTCTACTCAGCCCGGCAGGCCACCTCATCAGGGTGGGCTGGACAGCAGCAACAAAGCCACTGACTCCATGAGGCAACGCTGGCCTTCTCTGGGTACCAGGAAAATAGCCCCTGTGCAAAGAGTGTCATAATGGGATCATGTCCAGCATTTCATCCTGCAGAATCTTGTTTTTAATTTAGATGCTTTGTCTACACCTCTAGAGGTGGCCTTCCTCTCTTAGAATTTGTATCTGTGCTGAATAGACTATCGGCTTCCAATTTTTTCCCCTGTAAACATCCCAGGAATTATTTCCCAAGAATAAAAGAAGCAAAACAAAAACACTGTAATTTGAAACTATGTGCGTATGTCTATGACAGAAAATTATGCAGAAGCGGGTGGCTACTAAGCTTCCCTCCGACCCCATAAACATCCCAGGAATTATTATTACCCAAGGGGAAGAAAGAAAAACAAAAACACTTCAATTTGAGGCTATACTCGGAATTTCTGTGCCACCAGTGTTAATCTAGTGCCTTATTTATTCTCGAGCAATGATTTTAGCAGTAATTCACTCTATGAGGCTATTTCTGCTTATTGTGGAGTCCAGTATGACCTTATGGTGGGTCTTCCAGTAGAAAATATGCCAACAGTTTTTATGCAGCCTGTTGTCTTCCAAGCCCCATAACTTTTATTACCCCAAATCCAGTCACTGAAACACACTGTTAAATATCAGTACTGTGACCTCCACTGCATTGTCCCTGGACACTATATACCAAATAATTGGCTCACAGCTTATCAAACTGCTGGAGAGGAAGTGGAACATTCTGAGGTTTATATCCATGATGCTTTAGTGCAGTTTGGGTGCCTGAAAATGATAGAACTAAGGCACACTGAAAATGTCCCCACTGTTTTTCAGGGCCTGGTAAATAGATGCTTGGTGGACTGCCAAGGTCCTGGGACCACAGAATGAAAATCGGTGTCTTAAAAAATGTCAAAGCTGACTAAGGAGCAAAAGGGCTGTGAAAAAGCTGTGCATCCGTGCAGCACTGAGAGCTTGTCCCATTAGCACTGTGTCTGTGCTGCTGTTTGTCTCACTTCCGACTTGGTTCTTAGTGAGGTGAGTCTGATCACGTTTTTGGTTGCTCTTGCCCTTTGAGAAATATGTTTCGTTAATGCAGTTACCTAGTTGTTAAAAGTGCCTCGCTGAACCTGGGACTGAAAACAAAAAAAAGCTTATTTCCCGTCAGCCTGTGGTTATTCTCAAGTGACTTTGATGAGCTCTGAGTTTCTTATTTCTTCAGAAACTTTCATCGAACTAAATTCCAGGGGGAAAAAAAATGAAAAGATTCTAAAAATATCTTGCTAAGATCAGACCCAGGGTCCATCTGTCTCAGGAATTCGATCCCAGAATCTGCCTTTTTCTCATATGTATGATCATTGGTGTGAGTTTTTCTGTCCAAAATTTATTCCATTATTTCTACTGTTTAAGGAATGTAAAAAGCTGCCTTTACTCTCAATAGAACAACCATCATCTGTTTTGAAAGATGCTTTGCTGTTGGTTATTCAAACTCAGTCCCTGATAGACAGCCCCTTGTATTGTGGATGAATGTTCAGTTCTTTCTTTTGTTTTCTCATCTTATTTCCATTGAACTGGTGCACTTTATTATAAGCCATTTGGAGGACAAAAATTAAAATAATTTCCATTTGGCCTAAGGAAAATTGGATAAATTAGTTTATATCCAGCGTTTTCCCCATTTGCTATGAATCGGCATCTTCCCCTCTCTTTTTATATGTTGGTAACCAAATAGTGGTTTAACATTTTTATCTTATTCATTTAAATTGGTGGAGGATTTTTAATGTCCTGGAAGTTAACTCCAGGTCACAGCCTAGCTTTTCCATCTGAGAGAATTCCCATGTAGAGCTGAATTATGAAGATATAACTTTTCATGGTTTGACTAGATAGGTATTCTTTCGAAGTTTGGTAAGACTGTATGAACTGAATTTTCTTATGTTTGATTCATTAGCAGTCTTGCACTTAGAGAGTTATACAGGGTCATTGATCACTTATACTTCTTTAGGCAATTTGATGAAAAGAAATGTGAAATTTAATAGGCTATTATACATTATCTTCTGCTATGTTAAATTACTAAACTTCTAATTCTTTATAATGCTGTTATAAAGAATATCTTGAGTTTCTAATGTTTCTTCGTGTAAATAGGGTAAAATTGTACCTGGACATATCTATATTATTAACTCTAAGATCTCAGAATAAATTGGTGTGGTAAAGGGCTGAATTTGGGGAATTATTAAAATTCTCAAACCTTGCATATAACCAAATGCTCAATTTTTTCGGAAGTAAATACTTTATGGCATTTTCATACTGTGAGATGAGACATTTCTTTTTCTCCTCAGCTTGATATGAGAAGCAAACCATCCTCTCAGCAGTAACCAAGCTGTACTATGAAGGGGTAAATAAGGGAAATGGAGCTGGCCTAATGGGCTACAGTCCCACTGTTTTGTATATTAGTCAAAGGAAGCATTTTTGTAGCACTATCTTTATCTCTATGGGGAAAAAAAAAAAGTTTGTCTCTAACATGTATTTGTTTTGAGTAAATTTTTTTTTTCTCTGGTAAAGAAGCAATTGTAGAGACCAAGCGCTATACTATGGCCAAGTGACACAAAAGACATTTATGGAAATACAAGTTCAGCTGCCTCCCATGTTGTTGTTGTTGCTAGGTGTCATTGAGTCAGTTCTGACTCATAGCGACCCTGTGTACAACAGATGAAACACTGCCCCGTCCTGCGCCATCCTCACAATCATTGCTATGCTTCAGTCCATCGTTGCAGACACTGTGTCAATCCATCTCACTGACGGTCTTCCTCTCTTTCGTAGACCCTCTACTTTACTTACCTATTAAATCCTATTATTTCCATGCCTAAATCCATAATAAAATATGCCCGGTGTTTGTTCAACAAACCCGTATTGAATCTCAGCTTTGGAGGATACCCTGAAAGTCATCTACACCAACTCCTCCAAATGCGCAAATTCCCTTCCCATTGAGCTACTCAGAAGCTGAAAATCTATTCAAGCAAAAACATATTTGGACTGCTGGGCACAGTGCCTTTCACAAGATCCCCACAGAATTTTGTTGTTCTTGTTGTTAACATTATTTGGATTTGAGGCAGCCTTATCTCTGAATGTCTGTGGTATGTGCCTAAGATGGATGCCCTTTTTATAAAGAGACGAAATATGAAGGGGCACATTTTTTTAAAAGTTGTCATTTGAGAATTTAGCAAAGACCTAATAGAGCAAACTTTTTGAATCTCTGAAAATTTTATTTTATCAAGTTTCTGAATCCTAAAATTTCATGTTGATTTTGTTAATAGGCTAACAATTTGATGAGAGACAATCTTGTATTGAAGTATAGAGAGGTTAAGATTATTCATGAATTTAAATATGTAAGAGAAAAAAATAGGAAGGGGAAAAAGTTATCCTTCTTGGCCTCAGAAATAGCAAAAAATTATTAATTTATTTATGGACTCAGCAGTCTCCCAGGGTTTAAAATTCTGAGGAATATTTGAGAAAGTCTGAGGTCATTGTAGGACACAAACACAGATGAATCTGGTTTCTAATTTAAAGGGTCCCCACGTAGGCACACAACAGCTTTTGGGAATGATTGCACCAACTGATTGCACCAACATCAGTACCTGACTCAGAGAAACTCATGTATAGGCCAGCAGATGGCCTAAGAAAAGAACGTGTACCCAGCAGTGGTATTCTTGTTTGGTGTTATCTAGCCCAATCAATCACTACCGTTCAATCAAGGAGTTTGAATATGAAATAATAGAAAGTTAATCAGCAGTACTAA